CAAGGTTACAATAAAGAATAAGTATCCATTGCCGAGGATTGATGATTTGTTTGATTAGTTTCAGGGTGCCAAGGTATTTTCAAAGATTGATTTGAGATCTGGCTACCATCAGTTGAGGATTAGGGAATCCGATGTTCCTAAGACAACTTCCCGCACTCGGTACGGGCATTATGAGTTCTTGGCTATGTCATTCGGGTTGACAAATGCCCCAACAACTTTTATGAATTTGATGAACCGAGTGTTCAAGCCTTATTTGGATTCGTTCGTGATAGCCTTCATTGATGATATTTTGATATATTTCCACAGCTATGAAGAGCACGAGCAACATCTCAGAGTGGTTCTTCAAACTCTGGGGGATAGTTAGTTATATGCCAAAATTCTCGAAGTGTGAGTTTTGGTTGAGTTCAGTTGCATTTCTAGGTCATGTTATATCAGTAGAAGGTATTCAGGTTGATCCGAAGAAGATTGAGGCAGTCAAAAACTATCCTAGACCAGCATCAGCTATATAAATTCGGAGTTTCTTGGGATTGGCAAGCTACTATCGTCGGTTCGTGGAGGGGTTTTCGTCTATTGCAGCCCCAATGACCAGATTGACCCAGAAGAGTGCCCAGTTTCGATGGTCGGACGAGTGTGAGGCGAGCTTTCAGAAGCTCAAGACAGCTCTAACTACGGCACCAGTGTTGGTTTTACCCATAGGTTTATGGCCTTATACAGTTTATTATGATGCATCTCGTATTGGGCTTGGTGCAGTGTTGATGCAGGATGGTAAGGTCATTGCCTATGCTTCGCGACAGTTGAAGATTCATGAGAATAACTACCCAGTTCATGATTTAGAGTTGGCAGCCATTGTTCACGTATTGAAGATTTGGAGGCATTATCTGTATGGCGTGGCATGTGAGGTGTTCACGGATCATAAGAGTTTTTAGTATTTGTTCAAGCAAAAGGAGTTGAGTTTGAGGCAGAGGAGGTGGTTGGAGTTGTTGAAGGATTATGATATCACTATCTTATATCATTCGGGAAAGGCCAATGTGGTGGCCGATGCTTTGAGTAGGAAGTCAACCAGTATGGGCAGTCTCGCTTATATTCCGGTCGGTGAGAGACCATTCGCTTTGGATGTTCAGGCTTTGGCCAATCGGTTTGTGAGGTTGGATATCTTTGAGCCTAGTCGAGTATTAGCTTGCACGGTCGCTCGTTCTTCCTTATTGGAGTGTATTTGTGATCTCAGTATGATGATCCCCATTTGTGTGTCCTTAGAGACATGTTGCAGCGCGGAGGTGCCAAGCAGGTTACCTTAGATGATGATGGAGTTTTGAGATTGCAGGGTCACATTTGTGTGCCTAATGTGAATAGACTCCGAGAGTTGATCTTAGAGGAGGCCCATAGTTCCCAATACTCTATTCATCCGGGCGCCGCGAAGATGTATCAGGATTTGCGGCACCATTATTGGTGGCATAGAATGAAGAAGGACATCGTTGCATTTGTGGCTCGGTATTTGAATTGTCAGCAGGTTAAGTACGAGCATCAGAGGCCTGGCAGTTTATTTCAGAGGATTGAGCTTCCCGAGCGGAAGTGGGAGCGGATCACTATGGATTTTATTGTTGGACTCCCACAGACTCGGAAGAAGTTCAATGCAGTATGGGTCATTATTGATAGGCTGACCAAGTTAGCGCATTTCATTTCTGTAGCAGCCTCCTATTCATCCGAGAGGTTAACTAATACTATATCCGGGAGATTGTTCGTTTTCATGGTGTGCCTGTGTCTATTATTTCGGACTGGGGTACGCATTTTATCTCGCATTTCTGGAGAGAAGTTCAGCGAGAGTTGGGCATGCGGGTTGAGTTAAGCACAACATTTCATCCTCAGATGGATGGGCAGTCCGAGCGGACTATTCAGATTTTGGAGGATATGCTCCGAGCTTGTGTCATCGACTTTGGAGGCTCATGGGATCAATTTTTTCATTTAGCAGAGTTTGCCTACAACAACAGCTACCAATCGAGTATTCAGATGGCTCCTTATAAGGCTTTATATGGTAGGCGGTGTCGGTCTCCGATTGGATAGTTTGAGCTGGGAGAGGCTCAGTTGTTGGGTACAGATCTGGTTCAGGAGGCCTTGGACAAGGTCAGGATTATTCAGTATAGGCTTCGTACAGCTCAGTCCAGGCAAAAGATTTATGCAGACCGCAAGGTCCGAGATGTGGCATTTATGGTCGGTGAGCGGGTATTGCTCCGAGTGTCGCCTATGAAGGGTGTGATGAGATTTGGGAAGAAGGGCAAGCTTAGCCCTAACTTCATTGGTCCGTTTGAGATTCTCGATCGAGTGGGAGAGGTGGCTTATAAACTTGTATTGCCGCTGAGCTTATCAGTCGTGCATCCAGTGTTTCATGTGTCCATGCTTCGTAAGTATCACGGCGATCCATCCCACGTGTTAGATTTCAGCATTGTCCAATTGGGCAAGGACTTATCTTATAAGGAGGAGCTGGTGGCTATTCTAGACCGGCAGGTTCGTCAGTTGAGATCGAAGAGTTTTCCTTCTGTTCCTGTTTAGTGGAGAGGTTAGCCTCCTGAGGCATTGACCTAGGAGCCCGAGTCTGATATGCGGAGCCGTTATCCCCATCTTTTCCCCGACTCAGGTACTTCCTTCTTATGTCCGTTCAAGGACGAACGGTTGTTTTAGAGGTGGAGAATGTGATGACCCAAAAGGTCATCACTTGCTTTTAAATCGAATCCCATGTTTTCGAGGCCTTGAAAACCTTACTTAGCATCACTTCGATTTGCGTGCGCAGTCCGGGCGCGTAGCCGGAAAGCTTAAAATATGAAAATCTATGAAAAATATTTATAATATGAGTTAATTTGACTTTGGTCAATGTTTTGGGTAAACGGACCTAGACCCGTGATTCAACGGTCCCGGAGGTTGCATAGGAAAATATGGGAGTTGAGCATATGCCCGGAATCGAATTCCAAGGTCCCAAGCCCGAGAAATGAATTTTTTATAAAGAAACTTGTTTCCTGAAATTGTTTAAGGAAATTTGAAATGAAATCTGATTAGAAAATGATGGTATTAGGCCCGTATTTTGGTTTCAGTGCCCGGTACATGTCTTATATATGATTTAAGACGTTTCTGTGGAATTTGGTGAAAAACGGATGTCATTTGACGTGGTTCGAACCTAAATTGCTAAAATTGATACTTGAGGAAGTTTGAGGAAAATATTCTTTGGTTTTGAGGTTTAATTCGTTGTCATTGAAGTTATTTTGGCGATTTGATTGCACGGTTAAGTTCGTATGATGTTTTCAGTTAGTATGACATTTGGTTTGGAGCCCCGAGGGCTCGGGTGAGTTTCGGGATGTTTTTACTCTTAGGAAAAAGTTGCAGATTCAGAGAAGTTGCAAGTCTCTTAAGCCAGGTCTCGCGGTCCGCGGTGGAAGCTTCGCGGCCGCGGTGGGGACTCCGCGACCCCAGTGGGATTTGTGCGGTCCGCGGTGAGCAAGGCCAAGCCTTCGCGTCCGCGCTCGATTTCTTGCGGTCCGTGGTGGAGGCCTATGCGGCCGCGGTCGGTTTCATGCGGTCCCCACAGGGCACTGAACCATAGTACCTCAGGAAGGCCTGTACGATCGCAGTCCCTTTTATGCGGTCCGCATAGGGGGTCTGAGAGGGGTATAAATAGATGAGATTTTCAGTTATTTTGCATTTTACAAAACCCCAAAAACATAAGAGGCGATTCTTTCCACAACGTTTCTTCTCCAAATCAATTGTAAGTCATTTTTAACTAGTTTTTTTCGATCATTAACATCTTTTATCATGATTTCAACTTCAAATCAATGATTTTCATGGGAGAAATTGGATGTTTTGGGTAGAACCTAGGTTTTCCAAAAATTGGGGATTTAGACCTCGATTTAAGGTCTGATTTCAAAACAAATTACATATTTGAGTTCGTCGGGGAATGGGTAATCGGGTTTTGGTTCGAACCTCGGGTTTTAATCATGTGGGCCCGGGGGCGATTTTGACTTTTGGGTAAAACTTTGGAAAAACTCATTTTTCATGCATTCAAATTGATTCATTTAGCGTTTATTGATGTAATTAAGTAACTTGTGGCTAGATACGAGCGAATTAGCGGAGGAATCAAGGGGTAAAGCTATAATTGAAACTTGAGTTGTGTTCGAAGCATCAAGGTAAGTGTTCGGTCTAACCTTAGCATGAGGGATTAAGAGTTGAGTCCTATTTTCTATTTGCTTCTTGTTGAGAACGACGTATAGGCATGGTGAAGAGTATCTATATATTGGTGTCGAGCATGACCATAAGTTTTAAATTGATACTTGTTGTATTCCTGAGTGTTACTATGGTTGAAATAGTGAGTAAATCTTTGATATTGAGCAAAGACTTAGTTTGTTTATCGTGGAATCTACTTATGATTGAGAAATGGTGATAACTGAGATGAGTAGGAGTTGAATTAAGATTGGTTATAGCTGATTCTTCCTTGCCAGGATGTATATACTTGTATTGTTGAGTTCCCTTGTCGGGATAGTGTAGTCTATTGTTGATCCCTTGCCGGGATGGTTAATTACGATTATTATTGACTGTATATTTGGAACGGGTTGCGCGCCGCAACATTTTTATATAAATATTGGATCGGGTTGCACGCCGCAACAATTATATATGTGTATCGGGTTGCACGCCACAACAGATATTATATTGGATCGGGTTACACGCCGCAACAGTTATGTATATGGATCGGGTTGCACACCGCCACAATGGTAATTGATAAGGGATCGGGTTGCACGCCGCCACAGTATGGTTATTGTATGGTTGTAGACATAGAGTGTCCTTTCATACTTTATTAAGTTTCTGTTAGAACTAATATGTTTCCCTGAAGCATGTTTCCCCTTCCCTATTAAACTGTTATTCCATGTTTATATTTCCGCTGTATATTATATAACTGCACAGGTTTATTTGGAGTCTGGTCCTAGCCACGTCACTACCTCGCCAGGGTTAGGCCAGGAACTTACAAGCACATTGGGTCGGTTGTGCTGATACTACACTCTGCACTCTGTACAGATACCGGAGTAGCACTTGATCAATAATAGTAGAGGAGCCAGCCTTCAATCCATCAAGACATCGAGGTAGCCTTGCAGGCGTCCGCAGGCCCAGCGTCTCCTCCATCTTTTATTAAGTTATGTTATCTCATGTATCCGAGACAAACAATGTTATTTTCCTTCAAACTATTATATGTAGTACTCTTAGTAGTCCGTGGATATTGTGACACCAGTTTCTAGGTAGAGGCAAGTATTAACTTTCGAAACATTTTGTTTATTTATTTATTTAAGATTTCCGCTTAAATCTCATATTCTGTTGTTATTCATATGTTTATCACTTGTTAATATAAGTTGTAAAAAGGATTAAACATAGAAGAGTTGAAGATTTCTAAGTTTATGGCTTGCCTAGCTTCTACGCGTAGGCGCCATCACGACTCCCGAGGGTGGAAATTCCGGGTTGTGATATTACACTATATAATATCGTGATGGAGCCTACTCGTAGAAGTTAGGCAAGCCACAAACTTAGAAATCTTCAACTCTTCTGTGTTTAATCCTTTTTACAACTTATATTAACAAGTGATAAACATATGAATAACAGCGGAATATGAGATTTAAGCGGAAGTCTTAAATAAATAAAAAAACAAAATGTTTCGGAAGTTAATACTTGCCTTTACCCAGAAACTGGTGTCACAATATCCATGGACTACTAAGAGTACTACATACAACAGTTTGAAGGAAATATAACAATGTTTGTCTAGGATACATGAGATAACAGAACTTAATAAAAGATGAAGGAGACGCCGGGCCTACGGATGCCTGCAAGGCTACCTCGGTGTCTCGATGGACTGAAGGCTGGCTCCCCTACTGCTGTTGATCAAGTGCCGCTCTGGTATTTGCACAGAGTGCAGAGTGTAGTATCAGCACAACCGACCCATGTGCTGGTAAGTGCCTGGCCTAACCCTGGCGAGGTAGTGACGAGGCTAGGACCAGACTCCAGATAAACCTGTGCAGTTATATAATATACAGCGGAAATATAAACATGGAATAACTGTTTAATAGGGAGAGGGAAACATGCTTCGGGGAAACATATTAGTTCTAACAAACACTTAATAAAGTATGAAAGGACACTCGATGTCTACAACCATACAATAACCATACTGTGGCGGCGTGCAACCCGATCCCTTATCAATTACCATTGTGGCGGCGTGCAACCCGATGCACATACATAACTTTTGCGGCGTGAAACCCGATCCAATATAATATCTGTTGCGGCGTGCAACCTGATCCACACATATTACTGTTGAGGCATGCAACTCGATCCAATATTTATATAAAAATGATGCGGCACGCAACCCGTTCCAAATATACAGTCAATAATAATCGTAATTAACCATCCCGGCAAGGGATCAACAATAGACTACATTATCCCGACAAGGGAACTCAGCAATACAAGTATATACGTCCCGGCAAGGGAGAATCAGCTACAACCAATCTTAATTCAACTCCTACTCATCTCAGTTATCACCATTTCTCAATCATAAGTAGATTCCACGATAAACAAACTAAGTCTTTGCTCAATATCAAGGATTTACTCACTATTTCAACCATAGTAACACTCAGGAATACAACAAGTATCAATTTAAGACTCATGGTCATGCTCGACACCAACGTATAGATACTCATCACCATGCTTATACGTCATACTCAACAAGAAGCAAATAGAAAATAGGACTCAACTCCTAATCCCTCAAGCTAAGGTTAGACCAAACACTTACCTCGATGCCTCGAACACAACTCAAGTTTCAATTACAGATTTACCCCTTGATTCCTCCGCCAATTCGCTCGTATCTAGACACAAGTTACTTAATTACATCAATAAACGCTAAATGAATCAATTTGAATGCATGAAAAACGAGTTTTTCCAAAGTTTTACCCAACACAAAATCGCCCCCAGGCCCACATGATCAAAACCCGAGGTTCGAACCAAAACCCGATTACCCATTCCCCGACGAACTCAAATATGTAATTTGTTTTGAAATCGGACCTTAAATCGAGGTCTAAATCCCTAATTTTTGGAAAACCTAGGTTCTACCCAAAACATCCATTTTCCCCCATGAAAATCATTGATTTGAAGTTGAAATCATGTTAAAAGATGTTAATGATTGAAGAAAACTAGTTAAAAATGACTTACAATTGATTTGGAGAAGAAAGGTTGTTGAAAATATCGCCTTTTATGTTTTTGGGGTTTTGTAAAATGAAAAATAACTGAAAATCTCGTCTATTTATACCCCTCTCAGACCCCTGTGCGAACCGCATAAAAGGGACTGCGGCCGCACAGGACTTCCTGAGGTACTACGGTCCAGTGCCCTATGGGGACCGCATGAAACCGATCGCGGCCGCACAGGCCTACACCACGGACCGCAAGAAATCGAGCGCGGACGCGAAGGCTTGGCCTTACTCACCGCGGACCGCACAAATCCCATCGGGGTCGCGGAGTCCCCACCGCGGCCACGAAGCTTCCACCGTGGACCGCGAGACCTGGCTTCAGAGACTTGCAACTTCTCTGAATCTGCAACTTTTTCCTAAGAGTAAAAACATCCCGAAACTCACCCGAGCCCTCGGGGCTCCAAACCAAATGTCATACTAACTGAAAAACATCATGCGAACTTAACCGTGCAATCAAATCGCCAAAATAACATCAATGAAAACGAATTAAACCTCAAAATCAAAGAATTTTTTCCTCAAACTTCCTCAAGTATCAATTTTAGCAATTTAGGTTCGAACCACATCAAATGACATCCGTTTTTCACCAAATCCCACAGAAACATCTTAAATAATATATAAGACATGTACTGGGCGCCGGAACCAAAATACGGGCCCGATACCATCATTTTCTAATCAGATTTCATTTCAAATTTCCTTAAACAATTTCAGGAAACAAGTTTCTTTATAAAAAATTTATTTCTCGGGTTTGGGACCTTGGAATTGGATTCCGGGCATACGCCTGACAAGTCTGAAGGGAATACCTCAGGAAACTCACGAACAACGGGCACAGAATCAATAGAGGGAACCTCAACACTAGAATCACGGACATATGCCAAATAGGCTAAACACCCCTTCTCGACCATGCGCCGAGCCTTCACATAAGAGATAACACTACGGGTAGAATGAATAGGAATCCCTTTCCACTCTAAACGAGGTATACCCGGTAAAACTAAGGTCATAGTCTTGGCATGAAAGTCCAAGATAGCGTGGTAAGGTGATAACCAGTCCATCCCCAATATAACATCAAAATCGACCATGTCTAGAAGCAACAAATCTACACGAGTCTCAAGACCCCCAATCACCACAACATAAGAATGATGGACTCGATCAACTACAATAGAATCACCCACCGGTGTAGACGCATAAACGGAAACACTTAATGAATCACTAGGCATAACCAAATACGGTGCAAAATAAGATGACACATACGAGTAGGTGGACCCTGGATCAAATAACACTGAAGCATCTCTATCACAAAACAGAATAGTACATGTGATAACCGTATCTGAAGCCTAAGACTCAGGCCTGGTTGGAAGAGCATAACATCGGGGTTGGGCCCTACCACCCTGGGCTCCATCTCTGGGACGGCCTGCAACTGGCTGGCCTCCACCTCTAGCGGCCTGAGCTCCACCTCTAAATCCTCTACCTCCACCTCTGACACCTCTACCCCTACCTCTAGCTGGCTGGGGGGTCTGAGGAACACCTGGTGCCTGGACCATAGCACGGGAACCCTGCTGCTACGACTGAGTACCTACCAACCTCGGACAAGTCCTCCTGATATGACCATACTCACCAAACTCAAAACATCCACCTGAGTGCTATGGCTAAGGAAACTGAGACTAACCCTGGCGACTCAAATGACCACCCCGAAAACTCTAGAATGGCGGTGCACTGATAGGAGCTGGTGGTGCACTGAAGGATAGTTGATCAGAACACTGCATCTGCAGACCACGGCTACCTGAAGCACCGTGAGAGACCTAAAAATCTGACTAAAAGGGCCTAGGAGGATGGCCTCTACCATATGAATCTCTGCCTCAAGACGAAGCACCAATAAATCTACCTGAATGACGGGGCCTCTTATCCGACCCATGACCACCTCCCTGCAATAGGACCATCTCCACTCTACAGACCACGTTGGTCACCTCCTGAAAAGTAATGTCACTCCCAGCCTCCTTAGCCATCTAAAGGCAAATCGGCTAAATAAGACCATCAATAAACCTCCTTACCCTCTCTCTCTCTCTCTCTCGGTGGGAAGTATGACAAGAGAATGGCGAGATAAGTCGATGAACCCGGTCTCATACTAGGTAACCGTCATAGAACCTTGCTGGAGGCGCTCAAACTGCCTCCAATAAGCCTCTCACTGAGTAATGAGGAGAAACCTCTCCAGAAATAGTTGTGTGAACTGCTTCTAAGTCAAGGCTGGCTATCCAGCTGGTCTAGCTAAGCAATAATCACTCCACCAAGTCTTGGCGGATCTAAACAAGCGAAATGTGGAAAAATCGACCCTATTGGTCTCAACAATCCCCATGTTCCTGAGAACCTCATGGAAGCTATCTAGATAATCCTGGGGATCCTCAGGAGTTGCACCGCTGAAAGTAGAAGTGAAGAGCTTGGTGAACCTATCCAGTCTCCACAGAGAATCGGCGGACATAGCCGCTCTATCACCGGTCTGAGCTACCACACCCGGCTGTACTGATCCAACTGGCTGAACTGCTAGAGTCTGAATCTGAGGAGCTACCTGCTCCAGAGTGCGAGTAGCAGGAGTCTGGGCTCCTCCTATAACCTGAGAGACGGCTGGTGCTACAGGGAACAAGCCTGATGGGGTGACACTCTCTATGAGGCTCACTAATCAGACCAGAGCATCCTGAAGAACTGGGGTAGCAATGAACCCCTCTAGGACCTGAGCTGGGCCCACCGGAACTGTTGGGGCTGGAACCTCCTCATCAATATCAACCTGAGGCTCCGCCACTGGTGCTGTTGCTTGGGGCTGAGCTTTGCCCCTACCTCGGCCTCTAGAACGGCCTCGGCCTCGCCCTCTGCCCCTCGTGGGAGCTGCTGCTGGGGGCTCGGGCTGCTGAGCGGTGGATGAGGAAGCGTGTGTTCTCACCATCTGCGAAAGAATAGAGTGGAAATTCAATAATCATTGAGAAACAAAACCGAACGATAGGAAAGAACAAATGTGAAGTTTTCCTAACTCTGTAGCCTCTATGGGATAAATACAGACGTCTCTGTACTAATCCTCAGACTCTACTGAGCTTGTCCGTGAATTGTGAGGCCTATGTAACCTAGAGCTCTGATACCAACTTGTCACGACCCGAAATTTTTACCCTCGAGAGTCGTGATGGAGCCTACTCGTAGAAGCTAGGCAAGCCACGAACTTAGAAATCTTCAACTCTTCCGTGTTTTATCCTTTTTACAACTTATATTAACAAGTGATAAACATATGAATAACAACAAAATATGAGATTTAAGCAGAAGTCTTAAATAAATGAAAAACCAAAATGTTTCGGAAGTCAACACATGCCTCTACCCAGAAACTAGTGTCACAATATCCACGCACTACTAAAAGTACTACATACAACAGTTTGAAGGAAAAATAACATTGTTTGTCTCGGATACATGAGATAACAGAACTTAAAAAAGGATGGAGGAGACGCTGGGCCTGCGGACGCCTGCAAGGCTACCTCGGTGTCTCGATGGATTGAAGGCTGGCTCCCCTACTATTGCTGATCAAGTGCCGCTCCAGTATCTGCATAGAGTGCAGAGGGTAGTATCAGTACAACCGACCCTATGTGCTGGTAAGTGCCTGGCCTAACCCCGACGAGGTAGTGACGAGGCTAGGACTAGACTCCAGATAAAACTGTGCAATTATATAATATACAGTGGAAATATAAACAGGGAATAACAGTTTAATAGGGAGGGGGAAACATGCTTCGAGAAAACATATCAGTTCTAACAGAAACTTAATAAAGTATGAAAGGACACTCTATGTCTACAACCATACAATAACCATAATGTTTCGGCACGCAACCCGTTCCAAATATATAGTCAATAATATTCATAATTAACTGTCCCGTCAAGGGATCAACAATAGACTACACTATCCCGGTAAGGGAACTCAGCAGTACAAGTATATACATCCTGGTAAGGGATTTACTCACTATTTCAACCATAGAAACACTCAAGAATACAACAAGTATCAATTTAAGACTCACGGTCATGCCTGACACCAACGTATAGATACTCGTCAACATGCCTATACGTTGTACTCAACAAGAAGCAAATAGCAAATAGGACTCAACTCCTAATCCCTCAAGCTAAGGTTAGATCGAACACATACCTCGATGTCTCGAACACAACTCAAGTTTCAATTATAGCTTTACCCCTTGATTCCTCCGCCAATTCGCTTGTATCTAGCCACAAGTTACTTAATTACATCAATAAACGCTAAATGAATCAATTTGAATGCATGAAAATGAGTTTTTTCAAAGTTTTACCCGAAAGTCAAAATCTCCCCCGGGCCCACATGGTCAAAACTCAATTATCTATTCCCCCACGAACCCAAATATGTAATTTGTTTTGAAATCGGACCTCAAATTGAGGTCTAAATCCCCAATTTTTGAAACCTAGGTTCTACCCAAAACACCCAATTTCTCCTATGAAAATCATTGATTTGAAGTTGAAATCATGTTAAAAGATGTTAATCATTGAAGAAAACTAGTTAAAAATGACTTATAATTGATTTGGAGAAGAAAGGCTGTTTGAAAAAATCGCCTCTTATATTTTTGGAGTTTTGTAAAATGCAAAATAATTGAAAATCTCGTCTATTTGTACCCCTCTCAGACCCCTGTGCGGACCGCACAAAATGGACTGCGACCGCACAGGCCTTCCTGAGGTACTGCGGTCCAGTGCCCTGTGCGGACCGCATGAAACCGACCGCGGCTGTACAGGCCTCCACCGCGGACTGCAAGAAATCGAGCGCGGCCGCGAAGGCCTGGCCTTACTCACCGCGGACAGCACAAATCCCACCGAGGTCGCGGAGTCCCCACCGCGGTCTCGAAGCTTCCACCACGGACCGCGAGACCTGGCTTCAGAGACCTGCAACTTCTCTGATTCTGTAACTTTTTCCTAAGTGTAAAAACATCCCAAAACTCACCCGAGCCCTCGGGGCTAAACCAAATATCATACTAACTCAAAAACATCATACGAACTTAATCGTGCGATCAAATCGCCAAAATAACCTCAATGATAATGAATTAAATGTCAAAACCAAAGAATTCTTTCCTCAAATAGCGACTAAGTAGCGATCAATCTTGGTTGCTAATGTATATCAAATAATTATTTTATTATTTTCGCCAATTTAACGACCAACTTTGGTCGCTTTTTTTCGGAATTCTAATAGTGCCTCACATCCTTCACCTTCAATTAATCCTGTTACTCCTACACCTCCATCCTTCACTGATTCCTTTTATTTGTCACATCAACCATCCTCACAATCTTTACAGCCCAGGAAATCCACTAGAACATCCAGACCTCCCATTTGGCTAACTAACTATGTTCACCCTCCTTTGCCTTCTACTTCTACTTTTCCTTATCCTATTCAAAATTGTGTCTTATCTCATCTTCCTTTCGTTTTCAGTCCTTCCTTGCTTATTTTTCATCAGACACTAAGCCTTCTTCTTACTCTCAAGCCATTAGAGATGACAGGTGGTTTCAAGCAATGACGCTTGAAATAGAAGCATTAGAATAGAACAATACTTGGAAAGTAGTTACCCTGCCACCTGGGAAAGTGCTCATTGGATGTAGGTAGATATACAAAATTAAATATAATGCTGATGGATCTGTTGAGAGGTTTAAACCAAGGTTAGTAGCAAAAAGATATACCCATCAAGAGGGAATTGATTTTCATGACACTTTTTCCCCAGTAGCTAAGATGATTACTGTGAGAACTGTCATGGCTATTGCAGCTCTTAAGCATTGGCCTCTTTTCCAGATGGATGTACACTATGACTTCCTATATAGTGATCTCTTTGAGGATTTCTATATGACACTGCCTTAGGGATTCAGTAGCTAGGGAAAACAAAGTTTGTAGACTCCTCAAATCATTGTATGGGTTGAAACATGCCTCTAGACAATGGAACTTGAAACTAACACAAGCCCTACTAACATCTGGCTTCAAACAGAGCAAACATGACTACTCATTATTCACTAAAACTACTAATGGTGCTTTTGTGCTCATACGTGTATATGTAGATGATTTTCTTGGTACAAGTAATGATTTGGCAGAGATACAATCAGCCAAAGAAGCTCTGCACAAAAATTTTAAGCTAAAAGCTCTTGGAGAACTAAGATACTTTCTAGGTATTGAGTTTGCTAGATCAAGTGAGGGCATCATAATGTCACAAAGAAAGTACACCTTGGAGATGATATCTGAAGCAGGACTTTCAGGTTCAAGGCCTAAAGAATCTCTAATGGAACAACATCTAAAGCTAACTAGTGCAGAATTTGATGAGCTAATAAAGACAGAAAGTTCTGATGAGGTTTTGGAAGATAAAAAACATTTTCTAGAGGCTAGTTGGGAAGTTGTTGTACTTAACAATAACCAGACTAGACATTGCATATGCAGTTTAGTGTTTTAGTCAGTTTGTGCATGCACCAAAAATGTCACATTATGAAGAAGCTCTACATGTAGTGAGGTATGTCAAGAATCAACCTGGACTTGGACTCTTAATGTCAAGAACTGGTGTAGAAGAAATTGTGGCATACTGTGATTCAGGTTGGGCTTTATGCCCCACGTCTAGGAAATTAGTTACTGGTTTCTGTATCAAGCTAGGAGCATCACTTATCTCCTGGAAAGAAAAGAAGTAGAGCACTATATCTAGAAGTTTAGCAGAAGCTGAATATAGAAGTATGGCACATACATTAGCAAAATTGATGTGGTTGAAAGGACTATTGATAGAGTTGTAGGTGAATGTGAAGATGCCTATGGAGTTGTATTGTGATAACAAGGCAACCTTACAAATAGCAGCTAATCCAATGTACCATGAGAGAACAAAACATATAGAGATTGACTGTCACTTTATAAGGGAGCAAATACAAGAAGGTTTGATAATGTAACAACCCGACCAGTCGTTTTGAGCTTTTACACTTAGCTCACCAGTTCTTGGGGATGACTAGCCCCGTATTATGTATTACAATTGATGTAAATTGTCGGCTTTGGTTTTCAGGGTAATCGGAATGGATTTGGAAGAACCGTTCTTAGTTTGAAGCTTTAAATTTGAAAGGTTTGACCAAGTTTTGACTTTTTAGTATTTGATCTCGGATTTGGATTTTTATGATTTGGTTAGCTCTGTTAGGTAATTTTGGACTCGAGCACATCCAGAATGTATTTTAGAGGTCCGTGGTAGATTAAAGCTTGAATTGGCGAAATTGGAAATTTGGCATTTTCCTGTTGGTTGTGGAAATTTTGATATTGGGGTTGGAATGGAATTTTGGAAATAGAGTAGGTCCTTTATGTCATTTGTGACGTGTCTGCAAAATTTTAGGTCGTTCAAACGAGGTTTGATAGACTTTTTGATCGAAATAGGAATTCGGATGTTTTTGGAGTTCTTAGGCTTGAATCCGTGGTTGATTTGATATTTTGATGTTGCTTTGAGGGTTCCTAGGGTTGGAACAAGTTTGAATGATGTTATGGGATGTGTTGTCATGTTTGGTTGAGGTCCCAAGGGCCTCAGGTGAGTTTCGAGTGGTTAAACGGATCAAATGCATGTTTGAGAATTGCAGATTTTCTTTAGTTCTGTTGCAAGCATTTTTGTTCTATGCGACCGTATAGTTAAAACCGCGATCACAAAGGCTTAGTAAAGTGGGGGTGAATTTTGTTTTATGCGGTCTCATAGTTGAGGAAGCGATCGCGTAAGGCTGTAAGGTTGTTGTTCGCGAATGCGGGGTGAGGGTCGCGTTCACATAGAGTAACTGGGAGCAGCTGAGGTCCTGTCATTTGTGCTTCGCGTGTGCGAGCTGGAGACCGCGATCGCGTAGAGTTAAATGGGGACAATCATCATTTGTGCTATGCGATCGTAGGGATATTTCTGCGATCGCGATTAAGGAATTTAAATTGCTGGGCAGAATGTTTAAAAGGCTATTTTCAAGATTTTTGGCCATAGTTCACCATGTTTTAGTCGGTTTTGGAGCTTCTTGAGGGAGATTGAAGAGGGAATTCAAGAGAACTTCTTCGGGGTAAGATTATTGAACCTAAAACTCGATCCTATATTTATTCTTACTTGCTTAAACATGAAACTAGTGGGATTTAAAGCCTAAAATTAGGGAATTAGGGCTTGATATTGGAGAGTGTAAATTGGGGATTTGAGGGGCCATTTGAGGTCCGATTTTGATGTTCTTGGTATGTATGGACTCATGGGAGGATAAGGATTCTATTGATATGATTTTTATTGGATTCAGAGACATGGGCCCGAGGGTCGGGTTTGGCCAATTTCGGGATTCTTGGTGTGAATTGGTTATTTTCGAGTGGGCTTTGTTCTCTTAGCATATTTTAATGGTATGAATATGTTTTTGGTTAGATTTGGAGCATTCAGAGGCCGGGTCGAGAGGCAAAGACATCGCGGGCTAGAGTTTGGATTGGATTGAGGTAAGTAATGATTGTAAATGTTGTCCTAAGGGTATGAAACCCCGGATTTTACATTGTTGTGCTACTTTGAGGTGACGCACACGCTAGATGACAAACGTGGGTCATGCACAATTGGTAATTGTGACTTGGTCCAGCCCGTACGATTGTTAAGTCGCGTATTTGATTGAAAACTATTTGATACTATTATATTTTGGAAAGTATTATTATGTTTTGAGATGAATGCCATATTTGGGACTGTTTGGACCCTTAGGCGCTTTTTACTACTATACCTCACTGTTTTGACTTAATATTTGTACTCAGTCATGTAGTATTTTACTGATTTCATAACTCGGCCTTATTTACCCAGTTTTGATACTATAAATGATATTTTGGGCTGAACGCCCTGTTTTACTAATAGTCCGAGTGGCTTGTGAGGTTGATGGTTGCGACAGGCCGAGGGCCTGATTGTGAGGTTAATGACTGAGAGAGACCGAGGGCCTAGTTGTGAGGATTATATATTTATGGATCGGGCTGCACGTCACAGCTATATATATATATATATGGATCGGGCTGCACGCCGCAACAATATATGGATCGGGCTGCACGCCGCAACAATATCGGTATTGGGTGCAATAGAATTTATTTGGAGCGATTTTGATAAGAAATGAGACATTTAGTCTCTTTTAAGAAGGTTTAAGTTGGAAAAGTCAACCGGACATTGACTTATGAGTTAGAGGGCTCAAATGTGAATTTAGACGGTTCGGTTAGTTTCGGGAGGTTATTTGTGACTTAGGAGCAGAACAGGAAGTAATTTTGGAGGTCCGATGTTGAATTAGGCTTGAATTGGCGAAGTTAGTATTTTGGCGAATTCCGGTTGATAGGTGAGATTTTGATCCGGGTATCAGAATGAAGTTCTGAGAGTTGTTGTAGCTTCATTGTGTCATTTGGGATATGTGTGCAAAATTTCAAGTCATTACATCGTTTGGTCGGGTTTTTGATCGAATGTGTGTTTTAAAAGTTTTAAAAGAACTTAGGCTTGAATTCGATATAATTTAATGATTTTGGCATTAGTGGAGGTGTTTTGACGATTGGAGCAAGTTTGGATAATATTTTAAGACATGTTGGTTCTTTTAGTTGAGGTCTCGGGGGCCTCGGGTGTATTTCGGAAGGTTAACGGATCGATTTAGGCACGAAAAAAATAAAGCTACTACATGTTTTACAGCACTGTGAACAGTAGCTATGAACAGTGCCCATGAACAGTGCCCCGTAATAGTATCCGTAAATAGTACCCGTAACAGTATCCGTGAACAGTACCCCGTGAACAGTAACACGGGTGAACAATACATGGGGTGAATAGTAATTCCGAAAAATTCTGGGCAGAATGTTTAGTCATTTTGAGAGCTTTTGGACAGGGATTGAAGGCAGTTTTAACTAAGATCGATTGGAGGTAAGTTTTATGAGTTAAATACATGATTTTATTGAAGAATCATCCTAGAAATCCATGAAAACATAGCCAAATTATAAGAAATTAGGGCTTGAGATTGAAATTCTAAATTTGGGATTTGAGGGGTCAAACGGACTCCGATTCTTGTGAATTTGGTATGTATAGACTCGTGGCAAGATNGGGATTGAAGGGAGTTTCAACTAAGATCGATTGGAGGTAAGTTTTATGAGTTAAATACATGATTTTATTGAAGAATCATCCTAGAAATCCATGAAAACATAGCCAAATTATAAGAAATTAGGGCTTGAGATTGAAATTCTAAATTTGAGATTTGAGGGGTCAAACGGACTCCGATTCTTGTGAATTTGGTATGTATAGACTCGTGGCAAGATAAGGAACATTTTGATGTAAAAATTTCTGGATTTCAAGACGTGGGCCCGGGGCTCGGTTTTTGCAAATTTCTTGATTTTTGATATTTTTCGACTCCTTTCGATTGGGTTATATTCCCTTAGCCTATTGTGATGTATTTGTTGTGGTTTTGGCCATATTCGACGCGCGAGGAGGTCGATATGAAAGGAAAGGGCATCACGGAGTAGTATTTGGCCGGCTAGAGGTGAGTAATAGATGTAAATGCTGTTCTGAGGGTTTGAAACCCCGGAATTTCACATCGTAACACTATATTGAGGTGACTTGCATGCTGGATAATGGGCGTGGGGTAGAGCACCATTGGGGATTGTGACTTGGTCCGTCCCGAGAGATATTTTACTACATTTTTGGTTGAGACGTATACTTTATTATTGTGAATTGGGCTTGTTGCCATGCTTGGGGCCTTGTGCCGACCTGTAGAACCCTTAGGGGATTTTTGACTGGTTTTCCTCACTTATTTTGTTAAAGAATTTATATCCTCAGTCATGTTTCCAATTGTAGGCTTCTTGCCAATTATTTGAATCCTTCAGGGATTGATATCACTGCTTTCGCATATTTTGCATATCATTTGACCTCAGTCCAAGGTTTTAAATACTGTTTTGCAAACTCA